TACGATCTGCATTCCCGATCTTGATGCTGACCGAAATTATCGCTGGCTCTTAACAGGTTACTGCGGGAAAAAAAAGCTGCGAATGCACATTTTACAATAAATTTTAGTTTACTGCGGAACCACTCACCTGCGTCTCGTGGTTCCACACCCACTTTGACTATGTTATTACGCAATTTATCATCGATAAGAGGACGGACGCATAAAAAACTGACGTCAAATTGTTAATTTCACACTACGCCTTAAAATATCTTCCTTTGTTTTCTTCTCTTTGATTTCTAGGAGAAAATGAATCAACTACAAGACTTAGTCAAACGAATGCTGGACGAAAGAAAAGAACTAAGAATCCAACAACATCAATTACAAAACGTAATTAACAGTCGAATGGTTGCTCACGAACACGAGTCTGTCATTTCTGCATACCACGATGGCGACGAGGTCATTGTACCGCAGGCGGAAGTGAGCGTAGAAAGCGAAACGAACAGTCAAAACTTAGACGACAGCGATCGATCTTACCTCGAAGAAACAGAAACCGAACTTAGTCAACTGGACAATACTGGGGATTTAGATCGAAACGACGGCACCGCTCGTCAAATTTTACAGATTCTAGAACAGTTAGGACCTTCTGAGGAAGGTACTCATAAAGGTTGGATATCGCCCGATGTACGGAGCAGGGAGTTCTTACCTTGTCGATCTTGCGGAGGCCGCGTCCTCAGACTGTAGTCGTATAAATCTGGTGTCATGAGTAGAAATATTTTAGATAACAATAGAATTACTGGGCACGAGCTGTCAGACACGTGACCGATCAGTTCATGGTCGTCATGACTACAGCTGTTTCGACAAAGGTTGTCCCACACAAGCGTAAAAGCGTACGTGACAATGCCGATTGGCATTATGGGTAATAATAGTTTGGCGTTCCTTGATTGAGCTTGACAGTGTTTCAGGAAGAAAAAGCATAAATATACGTGTTTGTGCTATTTCCTTCTGTTATGATGAAATGCCTTTAGCTTCAATCAAGCAACCGTTGGCCACCATTACCCATAATACCTTTCGACATTGTCGCGTACGCTTTTACGCTTTCTTAGGACAACCTTTCTTGAAACAGCTGTATACCGTGGGATACCTAACACTACAGACTTCACACTGGTCTGGCTGTTAGCGTGACCCGATGTCAAAGTGAACTTTGACCGAGCACCCTTGATATTCGTAGCGCGTGAGAGGTTGAACCCTGAACTTAGCTTTGCTCGTTAAAACGAGAGATTATTCTTCAGACCCAATTGACAACTTCTATTCGTTGAGAAATAGAAGGAAATAAATATTACAAAATAGTCACAGTTTGAATCGAAGCTATTTCAGATAAATTGAATCAAATTCACACACCAAATTTCTGTCGTAAAATAGTGAAATTTCGTTTTTTCACTGGTGACCTACTCCCTTATCTTTGCACAAAAGAATGTTATTGTTTCACCTCACTACTAAGTGAAGAGCACCATTAATTGAGTTTAGACGCGAAGTTCCTGGGCACTTGGCATCCGTTTTGGCAAATTTTCATCTATTTTTCAAACTATTTCCGAGTTTTAGTTTGTAATTAAGCAATCAGGAAATCAGTAACATGTACTCCCCGAGAGGTCGCGTCAGCTTGTTGCCATAAGGACGGATTATGTTACTTAGCTACTACTACACCTTCAAATCGCGGGCTCAGTCAGCTGGTATTATTATTCCTCCGTAGCGGGAAAGTAGCTTTTTTTATTATTTTTTCTGTTCATATCAGAGTAACTGCTGATACCGATACTGCGTAGAAATGTGTAAAATGGAAAAACACAAGTACACGTTGAAATGAAATTAGCCGTAGAGATAAATCATTTATTTATTGGGGAATAATGCATGCGTATGTGATGCCTTACCTTGACATGGGGTGTAATCGGGAGTAAATACCGTAGTATGTTTATATACGTATTTATAGTGAAGTACTTTGCAAGGTGTTTCTCTCAAACAAAAAAAATCTTATATATTTATCTCATGCCTCGGCCGTCACTGCCAGTTAGCAGAAGGCGAGAAAACGTGAATATTCCCACAGTACAGGCCCTTTTCGGTGGTATCGTACGGGCTGTGTACAGTGTTATTCCCTGCTATTATGTACTGCCCTTGCAGTGCGTTTCGTGGGCATGAAATAAAATAGTTCTGAAGTGTGTTCTCTTAACACACCGTGATTATACCATTCGTGACAAAATTTTGTTATGTCCTCTTTAAAGCCTTGGGTTTATTTTGACCAAGAAACTCAGATCTCTCGTGGAATATTTCGCGAAAGCAGTGCACAACAAGGGTGTATACTCCTGTATTTCGAATTTAGCCAGGTCGGCTACTAATTAAATTATAATTTTATGGAAAACTGAGTAAAAGTAGTTTTAAACTTAATCCATTGTTTTGGTGCGTGTATTTTCATTTCTTTTTAACGGGTGATAGCGTAGCTAGAATGCGTTGTAGCAGTTAGGTGGGGAAGAAATATCCACTCACTCGCTCGGTCGCTCAGTCAGTAGTTGGGTCGTAAACATTTTTTCACTCTCGGTGTACTATGTTTTCCAACGTAGTCCATTTCACCACTGTGTCAAACAAACCGCTCCGTGCTGGTAGAAATGACTAACAAACAATAGGCCAAGCACAGCGAACGGTAGAACCCCGTACTATGTGCCTGGTGAAGATCGAGACGTTTTCCTGCGAATTCGTGCGCGGGCATTATTTCGTTCTTGTCAACAGATAGTACAGACAATCTGGTTGGGGATGGAATAAATTACAAGGTATCCAGTGTCCTTCATTGGCCATAAAAGTGCACAAGAAGTATAGTGTTGTTAGAATGTTTTCTTCGGATATTTGTAGTTCGCATGCTCATCAATATCAGGGGCCGCTTTCCTCTCACCCCCAACACACACCCCTATAAGGAGGGACAGTTAGCAGTTCCCACCTCCCCTGTTGTAGCGAGGAATGGGTCTGTGATCACTCCCCTCCTACGCCCTTTTGTGGAGTGCCCTTCTCCCCTCTTTTTAGGCACTTCAAAGAAAGTTTACATAAATTTTAGCGGCTACAATATACAGCAACCGGTAAACTTGTCTTATAGATTGCGCTCGAGCTCTAGCCGTAAATGGAAGGTAATATGGAGATAGGTTATTTTATTCCTTTACTCGCTCTTTGCTTCGGTAACGAGCCAAGGAGAAACATGAATGCTTGTCAATAACCCCAACTCTTGACAAAGATTATTTTTCCCACCTTCGGCGAGAGAAATTACGTAACAATTACGTAATTATTACGCTTTACATCTCCCATCACTGTCATACATTCGTTTTCCCGTACTGAAATTCATCTAATTTTTTTTTTTTTCGTCGAACGTCTTTACGTCTTCAGGTTTAGTTGGGTATTAGAAAACAGCTACGCCACGAGAATTGGCTCTCTCGAAATGGTTCTGTATATCGTTCTTTGAAGCTCTGTATGCTAAGTCCCTTAGTCAATTGAGTTCGACCTTAACATTTGTTTGACCTTAATCTGATCTTAGTATCTAGTATGTTACCTTCTTCACACAGAATCGCCGTAAAAATGACGCTAGCAAAGTTCAGCTGATAAACCGGTTTGTAATTCACTAATACGCATGCGTAGGGAATATCTTCAAAACTCTTCGGAAAAAAAACGAAAAAACTTTTGTGTTATCTTATTCACACTTAGCAGAAAGTGCTGGTTTGAGAACGTGACCGATTGGAGGGAGGAGAGGAGATAATGGTGATCCACAGTGGTAAATAGGAGTAAAACTCTCGTTGAGCTCTCAAAGGGTATCGATTATCGTTGTTTCTCCCACAAGTGAGCGGGTGATACGTGTGTGACAATTAATTACTTCATTCTTCCTCAAGGCAAATCGGTCCCGTCGGTATTGGTGCACCACTGACGGGGCTCGGCAGTGACCGGCTGATAGCTGGAGAGTTTAAGTAGTCATGTCCATCCCAGGAAGTGGAGGAATGACAGACACAGATATAGTTATGATGCGCAGTGAAGTTGCTTACCGTGAGCTCCATGGCCGGTTGCTGTCGTTATTTTGTTCCGCTACTGAACAATTTTGGTCAGTTGATTCCTTTTAGCTTCTTTTTCGCTCAGTTGATTAGTTCGGAGAGCACGAAAGAAGCGCAAGACTTTCTCGAGTTGCAACTGTGAGCAGCTCGATCTGGCTTCTTTAGTGCTCCCCAAACTTCCCAAGAAAATTACTAAGAACTTCAATAATGATGCACAGGTGAAAGCATGGATCAATTGTTTCATAAGATGTCAAGATTGCCAACTGAATTGCGTCACAAAAACACACACGAAAAATGATGTTATTCTTCACGAGGAATGATACCGGTTTCGCCCCATGGCGAGTTCGCCCCCACTATAAATTTTCTATTTCGAGTTAGATTGAGTTATTTCCTTGCACGACTGATGGTACAAGCTGATGTGGGATGACGGTGTTTGAACTGTCGGGGTACGATACGGCAGTTATTTTTTGTTTATCTTGTAGTTGTGCTTTTTTTGTCATCAAAATTGCTGTGCTCTAACTGTCTGTACTCTAAATCATATCACGTGGGAAGCCCTTATCGTCACCAGTCTCTGGCTTTCAAAATGGCGGTTTTACATGTAGAGTGTGTTTTTCGTCTTTCTTGCTATAAAGAACTGCCTTATCGTGGCGTTGAGGTCTTTTTACACTTCTTTCAGGTAGGAACTGTTAGTGTCGTGTTTGGTGTTTGATAAATGTGAAAAAGACTTATTTTCGCGCCGAATTTTCAAAAACGAGCGCTTAGTTATATCTAGCGATAGCAAGGCCGAAACTCCTGGGTCGGGTTGTTCAAAGCCTGATGAAGCTAACCCAGGTTAGACGACAATTTTGATTTGAGTTTTGTAACTTTGCGGTGAGATTCTCTGTTTTTATTGTTTGGCCTTCTATTTTGAGTTTGAATAATCCCAAAATACACAAAACATAAGCAGTGAAAAACAGTTGTGTACTTTGGTTCGGGTTCAGGATTGCCCAGTTAGGGTAGTCCATTGGTTAAGTCCATTCAATTAGTCCGTGGACCAGGTCCATCGGGGTAGTCCATGCACTAGGGGTCAGCAAAATGTACCATTACACGGCCAGTATAAATATGGACTGCGGACTGCAGACTATGGACTTAGGTATAAAACGCGGACTAAGCATTACGGACTGAGTATAAAACATAGACTCAGGTATAAAATGAGGACTGTGAACTAAATGCAGCCTACCAACTGCAGTCAGTGTTTTTTACTGACCGGTCGTAACTAATTTTACATAATACATGTATAAACGAGAACAAACCCTCTCATGTGTATGTGTTTTGCGATCAATTCATTTGTTTTCACCCCTGCTGAAGAAAGGCCAATTTCACGTCTACCCAACAGCTCAGGTACAAAATGCTGTTCCTAGAATTTTTGCTTTTTCAACGTACCAAACCTCCAAACCTACCAAAACTCGAATGCACTCTTTAATCTACAATTTCTACTAGTTTTCATTGTAGCAGAAATGCCCGATCAGAATGTCCAACCAGACTAAGTTTTTACCTGTCAAAATGCAAAACCTCTAATTTACTGGAGATTACCGACTGTTATTTGCAGGCTTGACTGTGATATGTTTTTGATAAGCATTCAGTTTGTTTTAATAATTGCCAAAGGTACATTACTTTCACAAATACTGGACATTTAATTTTGCAACGCTTTGCTAGAACATAGCTTAGTTAAATTTTTGCCTACAAAACTTGAGTCAGGCTGGAAAATTTATGGAATTGATCTGTATACATTTACATCCTCATAAAAGACACAAAAATGTTCCTTTCAGGGGATAAAAAGAACAAGCAAGTCCTAATTCAAGTTCTTGCTTAATCATGGATGTGATGGTGCTGTCCAAGAAGAAAGTATGTACTTTATACTGTACTGTAAATATTTTGGATGCTTAAAATTTCAGGCATTTACAAAATTTCAGATGGTTATATTTTTGGGCTTTTTTTTTGTCCAAAATTTTTGCAAGTAATGTGTATGCAAACTATTTAAATTTTATGTTGTCATAATAAGGAGAGTAATGAGCAGAGAGGAGTCTTCATTTCATTGAGATGTCCCCCAGTTCAGAGGATTTTAAGTTTCTCATTTCAAGCTTATTTATTCCTGAGTCAATATTATTCTTTGGAATGAATCAGAATTTCTTGCCTCTGGCTTCAGAGTTAATGTCTGGTTCAGAATAATTTATCCCAACAACCAACATCATTGTCTGGCTCA